AGTGTGAGTGGACTTGGTCGCCGGTGTGAAGGAAGTTGGACAGGAAAGCGCAAGGTTTTTACAGGTGGGGACTTCGACCAATGGGAGAAGGCGGAAGCAGAAGGTGACGTGCTATGAGTGCGGAGTAGACTGTGGGGTGGATAGATTTACAGTTTTTTTTATGTTAGCAGATAGTTTTATCCAAAACAGGGTCAGACAATTGGAGGTTAAGAGCCTCACTCTGGTCCCGCATGGCAAAGTCACTCCACTGACCCTGAGATATGAACTGGCTTCCGTCCAAACGCAGGCACAGTGTCCCAACCCACTGAGCCCCACGGCACCTCCTGAATGGACTAGAGAAACTGGGGTTGGATAGACAGAGGGACGGACGGACAATCGCAAAGGAAAATGCAGGTTTATAGTAGCAGGACACGCATTAGGGTGTCTGCATTAGCAGTATGGAGAAAGGAAGCAAGATTAGCTTCGGGGGGGGCTGGGCTGCTCCGCTGAGTCAGCCACTGTGCACTGAGTCTCCAGCAGGTGCTGAGTCAGGGTGGAGGAATGCGCTTCTCTGAGAGGGTCATGACGGCTCCCTTCTGCTGCCTGCGCGTATGCGTGAGCCAGAGAATGGGGGGGGTATGTGGGGGGGGGAGGGGGGGGGAGGGGGGGGGTGGAGACTCTCCAGGGATTGCGTGCCGACATCAAATGTTTACCTGTAACAAAAAGAAAGAGGAAGGTGTAGAAGGGGGGGTTAGAGGGAAAAAAAACATCTGTGGTTTACAGGAGTGGGCGGGGTAGCAGGGCTGAGAGCAGGAGATTCGCACGCAACTTAACAATGGCGCCTTTATGAAGGCTATGCTGCATTAGCTGGGCGAGTACGCACACACAGACACACGCGCGGGCACACACACACACACACACATTCTCACACACACGCGTGCACGCAAGCCCAGGGAGAGTTTGAGCACTTCGCAGGCTAGAATTCCTCAGTCTTTTTAACTGACTGACTGCAGTTTAAGGTGGGGGGGGGGTCTTGTTTTTGCTCCTTAATGCTAATGGGGAACTAGGTCACAGTGCAGCAGATTGAGGTAACAATTCAACCTCAACAGTATATTGTCCTTTATATTACATATTAATTGTGAATTTATTATTATTTAAATGTACTGTGACAGGATGGCGCCCCATCCTGTTCCCTGCCTTGTGCCCCTAACCACTGGGATGGGCTCCAGACCTCCCACAACCCTGAATAGGACAAGAGGTTATAGAGGATGTATGGATGGATGGATGTTTACATTTATGAGCATTTTAAGGATTATGGTGACGAGGTGCCCTGCGCTGGATTAATGGCAGGTATGCTGAGGAATAACTAAAGGCCCGCTTAAAGATGCCCAGTGTCCAGAAGAATGATTCACCCTCATAGTCAGAACGTCGAGTCTCCTGTGAGGGTGAGGCTCGCACACTCGACACTTTAACCCTTCCCCGTCAGGCTGGGGGATTATGGGATGCCCAGCCACAGCAGCAGTTTACACCAAGACAGGTTGGTGACTTTCCGTCCTGTTCAGTTTGGTAGCATATATTCCCGAAAGTCAAAAAAAAAAAAATTCAGGACAAAGAAATGTTATAAATATATCTGTCCCAGGTTGTGATTACTGTGGGGAGTCTTCAGTCGGAGAGCTGATTGGCAGCTTTGCGTGTTAAGGGGAGCAACTGGGAAATTGCCCCAGGTATTTGCGGTCAGCACTGTGTGTGTGTCTGTGTGTGTGTGTGCGCGCGCGTGTGTGTGTGTGTGTGTGCGCGCGCGCGACAGACGCAGATGGCCCGTGATTCTCGCCGCACAGACTACCTCCTGCCTGCAGAGCAGGCACAATAGGCTGCATTGTTCTGAGAGGCAGGCCTCTGCGTGCTCGTACTGAACTCTACCTGATCGAGACAGGTGTAGCGCTCCAAGTCACGCAGGGCTCCCGCCGCAGAGGCGGTGTGGGAGATGGGGCTCGCACGCACAGCAACTGCAGACAGCAACTGACACATGCGTGTACGTCATGTACGGCTGTGCATGCATTCTATTCATGTGTTCATGCATAAAATGTACACAAGCACAGGTGAGCAGGATCCTCTGTGTCTTTGATCCACTGTATGACTCTTCCAGTTGAGTTTGTATTTTATCGGGGCTGCAAATTCTCACACCTGTGTTCAGTTTGCACCCACGTTATGCTCCTCCTGTCAGAAACAGTGTGGGTCTCCCCACTGCTGGGTCCTGTCTGGTGTCAGGCACTTGAAGAGCATCTAAGGGCAAATTAAAAGTCTCAGAGCTTAAGGGAAGGATTAAGAAGTCGGGGGGGGGGGGGGGGCTCATATCAGAAACAGGGTATTTATTATTAATATTTTTATATTGGCAGCAATGTGAATGACGGAGTGTCTACTTTTTACTTAAGGTGGCATGGCCATCTGCAGGCCTTAAGAGGATGATCTGGAAACTACCTTAATTGCTTTCATCATAATCAAATAAATTTTCATTAACTGATTTCATTGATTTAAGATGGTTAACACTGTGTTCCACCAACACCCAAACGGGTTCCCGGGTTTTCCAGACCAAAAATTCGCTGATCCATGGCGAAGAAGGGTGGGTGAGAGGGTGGGGGCTGATCGAGGTCTAAGAGGGACATAACATAATGCTAAATCGCGCTGAAAACGATTCCCAGCGATGTATCTTTGTGGGACACGGAGCCTGCCAGTCTCGAGTTTCCATGCCATCAGTGCATCTATCCCGCTTTAGGCTAGTTGATGAATAACCGCAGTAGTGTCTCCCAAGGAGCCAGAGCACAGCTCTAGCGCTCCGCCGCATAAGGAAGCATTTGTTCCAGTCCGGTTGAATGGAGCCTTGTGCCGAAGGTAGCGGAAAGATACAGCAGAATACCCAGCGGTCAGAAAAACAAGTGGTCGCGATCCGCACTAGTAATTATAATGAACATCGAACTGTCTCGCTCATGCCAAGCCAACAGAATAACCGCACTGTATATAATTATTTGGGTCGCGCCGGTGGGCGAGATGCAATCAGCTGTTATTATGCCATTTGATTGCTTTTTGGGGTAAATTCGTATGATTTTGACGACCCGATTACTTTTTCATGTGTGCTTTCCTTTCCATCTCCGTGCGTGAAGATGTGGCATTTAGTGGTTTTCACGAAAGAGAAGCCAAACAACAGCGACAAATAAGTCTATAACAGATCCAGGACTACACAAACACTGAGACAATAAAGCATCATATCAGCTAGCCTACGCCTGTATATCACCCAGTGAAGCCTAGGTTTTGCCCATGTAAAAATGGATAAAATGCCTACATGTCTGTATTTAAACACCAGTAGCTGTTCGCAGGTAATATCACGGGTGCTCATCGACCAGCCAAACAACCAATCAGTAACAAAGGCGCACTAGATTTTTAAGATTGGAATATCCATGAAACAGCCACGATTTTTTCAAAGAACTGTTTAAATCATTCAAAGGACTATTTAACAGCCTGCATTTAATTATACAACGTTTAAACTAACATATGCTTCACGTTGACAGCCTATCGGTACAGTATCGCGCAGTGTAGGTTCCTTTAAGTAGAAAACACTACATGGTTTCATACATATGTATATAATATTTCATAATATTCTAATATATTGTTGTCATGTTTTACTAGTTGAAAAAATCCACATGAGCAGCGTCTGAGGAATGTGAAACAGGAATGCCGTTCTGTTACAAGAAAGGGGGTTTGATGGCTGAAAACAATGTCTTTGTGTTTTCTGCCCGGCCTCTAGTCACGCAACGCTGTATGTACAAACCTCCAAGAGGCTGTTGGACTCCGCACACGAGAAAGTAATCAAGTGCCTTCAATTGACAGAATCGCGTGCGCTGCAGGTACTCCAGGATTGCGCTGGACAGGAGCCAAGCAAAGGCGTATCGTAAAAAACGAACCGGATCCCTTAGTAAGCGACATCAAACGGGATCTGACAGCAGCGCATTAGTACCTTTTTAAAGGTCTATAATGTCCCGAATTACTCTGCATGCGAAGGAATTACCGCCATTTAAGGAGTTTTACCATTATATCATTTATTACTTTTTTTTTACTTTTATAATTTTTTACGGTGTATCTGCTGGTGCGCTCCAAACGAAATCTCATTGTACTTGTACAATGACAATAAAGCATCTTTATCTTTATCTTTATCTTTATCTTTATCTTTATCTTTATCTTTACCTAGCATACCATTAAACGTAATGAATGCAACAAAAAGTGCCTTTAGTAGATCAATATCGTTTTAATTAGGCTTTTCCACTTTTCAGCATTCTTAGAAGCCTACAAAGTTTAAGAACTCCGGGATAAAATATTTAGTGAGAGAACATAGCCTACTACCCTTTTTCTGTTTTGGAATAATGGTGATGATGGACTTATAGGGACGAATGCTTACAGTTAATAATAATAATTGGTTAACATGAATCCATTGTTAAGACTCCGTGGAATCATATTCGCCTGCTAATGTTTTATAATGTTAGAGACTTTTATGACACCGCAAATAAAAAAGAGGTCAGGGCAAAACAAGACTTGAAGGTCAGTCAAAGGGGAAATAGCACATTCACAAGAAAGCGATTGAGGGCGATGACTTTCTGTTGTACACTACCATGAGCCGCATCATGATAAGCAATCATTTTAGCTTATAATTCTTGCACATACACTATTTTACGTGTTGCTGAAAGTGTTGTTTTTGTAAGGATTACAAATATTCCGATTATGTTTGTATTCATTTGACAATGTCAGTGTGTGCAACTTCACCTTATAAAATAAAATTTACAAAACATTTGTTTATACTCGTTATAATCACAATGTTATATATAAACATACATATATATATAAAGTGATACATTATACTTCATTACGCAATTGCGACTTGATGACCTGAGTGGAGAACTACACCTCCCATGATTCTTTGCGCCGATGCGTCAGGTAAGCCCCTGGTGTCGATTGCTGTTCCGCACTAAGAATGGCTCAGTATAGCAGAGGATTCCCTTTGCGTGAGATGATCAAAATGAGAAGTTGCTGAGGGCATGAGAAAGGTTTGCGGGACCGTGAGCGTATATAGTCACTGAAAAACCACGTTTCATCACAAAACGCAACTACTCCGGGACAATCATTGCAAGTGGATTTAAAAGTAAGATTTTAACGAGCACTTTGAATTTTAATCGAAGTGGTCGAACAACGTTTTCATTTTAAGCTCCACGTAACGTATGGATGTATTTTTGCCACTGTGTTGCAGCTTCCGTTCACAACTTTATATTTTACCGCATTTGGCACTTTTACCTTTGTTAGGTATTGCCGTTTTGCGCACGTGGAGCGGTCTTTTGTATGGATGATACCTAAGCGATGAGATAGCGGCTCTCGTTCGTTTGTGGGCATATATTATGGGACATCATGAATAATCACCTAGTAGCTGCCATCAAGAAGATTGGTTCCCAGCTTGGATTCCTTGCTGACAAATTGTCCCATGGGCGTATAATTCCGAATATGTCCGATGTTATTACAGACGCCCAGTTCATCGGAGTATGTGGTGTACTTTATCTATTAACAGATATATCGAGGACTGCCCGTTTCTCTGGATTTTTACATATATGGTTCTGCTTTCGATACCCATTTGTCCGTTGTAACGAAGCCTCATTGTTTGGATTATGTAAACGGATACATCTATGGGATTCATCAGTTTTAAGCGATAATGGAATACAAGATGTACGTATCATGGATTAATAGAAGATGCTGTGCACTGTTTGACAGGTATGTACTGAGGTGCATGTGCCGTGTTTTACATACACAGACCTTACGATAGTTATTTACGTAACGTTTTAAATGTTCTTTCCATAAATGTTATATTCAGGAATCGCCGGTGATTTTGATACATATTTTATTTTTTTTTGCATAAACGGGAATATTCGCACCTAAACACCCACAATTTGTAATAAAACAAGTTAAATGCGTTGGGGATGTTGAATCGGACAATTGGACAGCTGAGTCAAACGGTCCACGCGTTACCTCACGGAAAGGTCGGTGTCTTGACACCTTCCCACCTTCCATTTTTTTATTTGAAGTATGCACTTGCAGTTACCGCTCTGTTCCGTTAGTTTTCGTATTGGTGAAACAGCGCCAACCAAGGGTGTCTTTGTCTTAGTATAATTTTTACGCAGCGATGTGTCGATTTCTTTACTCTGGTGACGTTTAAAGCAGAAAAAAATGTTCCCTATTTTTTTTTTTGATATCCCTGGACACGTCTAGGGGTTTAAATATAATATATGAATATTTGAATATATACACACATTTATATGTGCGACTCAGTTGCTTCCCGGAGATTGTGGATGGAAATCCCGATGGATTTCGGTCAGCCGAGGCCATGTCACTGCGGACACCCCAGGGTGCGCCTTCACGATTGGAGACACGGGTGCATGTGCTTCCCTGTCAGCACTGACAGTTTTCCATTATCCGGGGAAACAAAGCGTTTTTCTGCTTAATTGCCGTGACGTGAGCAGTGAGAGAGCTACCTGTCCTCACACCCTGGATGCTGATTTATCTTACGCGGCTTGTACTGCTGCCAGTCAAAATGATGTTTAGTCGAGGAATTGTAAATGCGGCCGGCCAGCATACTACTGTATAGGATTAAACTTAGCTTTTACTGCTGTCAGCGACGTTTCTTTTTGTTTATGGCTTGTCTGCTTGTGGAAAGTGGTGTTATAGTACCCAGGCAATGTTTTGAACCAGAGGAAGGGCAGCATGGACAGAATGTTAGCCTCTATGCACACTTGGCATAAGGTCTTTGCATTCAATTCAACACATGGATCTTTCTCCTGAGCCTTAACCTGGACAACATTAAAGGGGACATTCACAGCCAGCTGCGACATCCCAGTAAAGACTGTGCTTGCAGGCAGGCAGTATGTTAAGGGTGAGACACTCAGGTTGTCTGTATTATTTACTTTAACAGAACAGGCATTATTTCCAGAGAGTCAGAGAGGGCCGGCTTCGGAATGTCAAACCAGAAGACTCTTCTCGATGCTGTCTTGCCTCACTATGGAAGGTGGTGTCATGGCTGTGAGATACAGTGCTAGAGTGTCACCATGTGGCCTACAGATGCTGCTCTGGCCTTTTTAGATACCAGTGTCTGGGCTTAATTCATGTAAGACCATCCATAACAGATGACGATTGTGGGTAACGGTGTGCTGCTCCTTAAGCTTGTTTGCTGAAATCTCCATCTAAATCCCTTCATAGATATTTTATTTTTTGCAAACCAGTGTTGAGCGTTCTGCATGTCTTCTGGATGTTTTGGGTGCTGTAATGCTCACTGTATGCTTTGCCTATTGTCCCTGGATTGTGTTGGGACATCTGGATAGGTAGCTGAATATTGGGTGTCCTTTAAAATATTTATGATGGTCTATAGCTTAGAGAGTTTCCAAGGTGCCACCGCCCTTCATGTTAAAGTGAAACCTATACCCTTAGGGGAGGGGCGGAGGTCGAGCTGAGCCGTGGTTACCACGGCGACGGCGATCTCGCCCATTGTCACCCTGCCAGGTGAGCAAGGGTCATGTGATGTCCAGACAGGTTTTTTTGTGCCCTAGAGGGAGCAGCTAGCTGCCGCTCTGTGTGTGTGTGTGCGTGTGTGTGTGTGCGTGTGCGTGTGCGCGTGTGCGTGTGTGCGTGTGCACGTGCACGTGCACGTGCGCGTGTGCTTGCACGCTTCTCATAAAGGCCTGTCCTGTCCTGCAGTGAGCTTCCTGGCTAGCCAGACACAGCCTATCTATCTCCGGGTGACACCTGTTTGAGCTGGTCACTGCGTTCACACTGCTGAGGTTTGCGTTCCAGATGCCTGGAGGTGTTTGCATTGCAGCCTTTTTCAGTACCCCACCCACCGGCTATCTTTCCATCTTCTGGTTAAGGATGGCTGAAAATGGCCATGACTGATTTCTTCCACACAAGACAGATCAGTGTTCTTTCAGAGCCCCGCACGGGTAAAACCCCAGGGCTGATTTATACACACCTGTGCTGCCGGTGGCCGTTTCTCCTCTGCATTGCTAAAATTGTGTTGGGGTGCTGATGACTCCCTAGTCTGGTGGGGCAGGGCATGTGGGTCTGAGAGTGTGAATGGCAGGTCTTCAAGCCAATCTGATTTTCCGGCAGTTCCACTGAGGCTCAGGATTGGGCCAATACCAAGGCTGGACACTAGGGTGAGAGGTCAGCATATGCTGGTTGAGGCTGAGGGCATCAGATGTCCCACTCATGCATCTTGCAGCCTTCAGCAGTATCATATCCTACCTTGAGTTTAGGTGGATGGGTCTCGTCCCCTCTGTCAACTGAGCACAGAGATTTGCCCTGCTGTCTGTCTGTGTGGTGACGAGGCTGGTCACTGGCCATTGGCATCCATGATGCCGGTGGGGGTCCTGGCTTCGCTGCCTTTGCCTGGGAGCCTCCACTCTTCGCTGTTCTTCTCCCCCAGTCAGTTCCGTAGCATTAAAACACTGTGTCTATTGCTGATTCTCAAGACAGTGCCCTTCTATGTCTGTGTATGTGCTGCAATGACCCCCTCAAAACCTCCTTCATTACAATCTTCCTGGAACAAGTCCTCCTTTCTCCTCTGAAGAGGGACCCTCTGTCTATTGCCAAGTGGCTCTCGGGGTAAGCTTTGACGGTGGGACACATGCTCTACAAAAGGGTCTGAAGTGTCATCTAAACTTGGCCAGAGCCCCCGGGAGACACAAGACCGCCTTTATTTAGGACCCCGGAGGGAAGACAAAGGCCGACTTTGTGTCAGCGAGCAGGGCCCTTGCGAAACAGATGGGCCTTTTTTTTGGGGGTCCTCTTCTATAACAAGACAAGCCCCCCCCCCCCACTCCTGTTTCTGTGCCTCTAAGGCTTCCAGCATATTTTGTGTTAATAATGGGCAGGTTTAGCCCCCCAGTTTACGGACGAGTCAGATTCGAGCCTGTTATTTTTTAATGGGCACCCACAAGGCCAGCCTCGTAGAGCGAATGGGACGTGCCGTAATGTGGAATGTCAGTGGATCGGGTGACACCCGTGGTGAACCACAGAGAAATGTGTCTCCTTCGGGATCCCAGTTTAGATGTTCCTTAGCCCAGTGGACTGAAGTTGTTCCCGCTAGAAGATGTAACCATCCCCACCGCTCCATTCCCCAAAACCTCAAACGACAGAAATTGCAAAGTAAAAATCCCAGAGGCCCTTTTTTTTGGATTATGGTGTCAGTGGTCCAAAAAGAATCATAAATTACGTCTCTTTGTATCTTGTACCCAGCAAGAGGCATGGTGGGGGGGGGGGTTCTTGAGGTTGACAGCATCGCACAGCAAAGCTGCCTCTAAGCAGGCTGTGCTGAATGCCATGACATGTACCTATTGTGAGCAGATGTGCTGGTCTACTTGCAGAGATCGGTCAGAGTGCTCCGTGATCGTTTACTCTGGTGTTGTGTGTTAATGGCCAATTCACCAGCAAGGTAAAAATGCGTATTGATGGCTGGCCCATGCCTTCTGCTTTAAGAGTTGCGCGACACTCTGAGCCCAAACCCTATCCATTGGTATCGCTGGCCTTCTGACCGTTTTTGTGAATCGTTGTCGCATTACGATTACGTTTTCAGTTCTGCAACCCGTGACATGTAGGGTAGCAGGTGACAATGTGGTTGTACCTTGTACTCATGCTGTTTGCTTTGCCATATATCCCAGCTTGCTCTGTTTGAGACACAGACACACACACACACACACACACACAGGTGAGAGTGATGCTGGGGGCCTGAGCACAGTCAGAATTTATCTGATACCCCCATTTTTCAGGGGCTCAAGGGCCCAATGGGAATGTGACTATTCTGCCCCGCATGAGATTCGAACTGGCGACCTTCTGATCTCAGGCACAAGTGCTTTCCCCCATCCAATAAGGTTACCTGGAAGGGCTTTGCGCTTTAAGCTGGGTACGTGACCTTCATTGTTCCAGTTTATGAGGACTCTTATGTAAAAGCATCACGTATGTAATCATATGTCATGTTTTTCTTTGTTTTCATCTCCATCTCCTCCTTTCCTTTGGCTTGTTTGCAGAGCATTATATAAATAGCTATATAACTGACACTTGTGAGTACTGGGTTATTGAAAAATAGCCAGTTTTTTCTTGGGTGCCAGAAGCCGCTGCAGGAATGGCAGCCCAATATTGGTGAGGCTCAGTCCAAGAAGAAGCAACAGTGCCATTTGGAGAATGCCGGTTTTAATACACCTTCATTGTATGGCCACTAGAGGGCAGCACATCCATACATAGCCACACAGGACCGGGAAGGCAAACAGGTTGCTCAACTTAGCAGTTCAGTTTGTGTAGATTGGCTCAGTTTGGTATGGCCTCCACCCTTTCCCCCAGGTGGGAATAATTGTGTTCCCATTTTAATACAGTACATGAAAGGTGACTGCTATTTAAGGTGCAGAGGAGTGGCCACACACACATTCCTCTGGAAAGATAGCAGTTAGCGAGGGGAGCATGTGATCTGGGGTGAGGACGTCCCCCCCCCAGGGGCCTTGGAGGGGCATGGATACCATGGCAGGTTCAGGGGGGCCAGCACTTGACAGGGGCCCTAAAATATGTAAAATTGCACTGTATGGCAAGGTGACATTTTGTCAGGGGGCCCCAGAATTTCTTGTTACACCCCTGATCACCACCCGTACCATCCTGCACTAGTGCAGCAGATGGAAAGAACACAGCTTTAGTGACAGGTCAGATACCTAGGAGACTGTACCTAAGTGTGGAATAAC